TCCCCCTCCTCCACCTCCAGCACCATTGAAGAACCAACCCCCACCTACACTACCCAAGCAACACAGCATCTCCAAGACACTACCCTTCTCCAGCCAAACCTCATCAGTGCCATCTCTGGTTAAGCAGCTTGCTAGCCAGTTTCCTGTTGCATCTCCTGCAATGACCAATCAAACTGAGTCACAAAGTCACAAAACTCCTCAGTCCCTACCTGCAGTGAAGGCTAAACCAAAATGGCAGCCTGTAGGTCAAGGCCAGCAGCAACAGAGGTCACCTGAATTTCCACCGCCTCCTCCAGAGAGTACCCTTGCCTTTCCTTCACCACCAACTCCACCACCACCACCACCACCTCCTCCTCCTCCTCCTCCTATGTCAGGCTCCCCTATCATAAAATCCCCCTCTGGCTCATCTGCAGGGGTCAAGAAACCTCCACCGACTCCTCAGCGCAACTCCAGTGTGAAGTACAATGCCTCTGTGGAGTACCAGGATTCCCGCAGGAACTTGGTGAGCAAGTTAAACCCTAGTTCTGCTTCATCATCGACAACAACCTCTAGTAGCTCACCCTCCAAGGAGCTTTCTACAGGTCCTCGTGCACCCCCCAATCCAGGTAAGCTCAATCTGTCAAATCTTCCTTTGGCTTTGCAGAACAAACTGAATCAGAACCGCCAATCGACTGCAGACTTCCCATCCCCTCCACCCCCAGAAAATGACATCTTCCCCCCTCCCCCACTGGAGTCTGACCTTCCTCCACCACCGCCCCTTCCAGGTGATCCAAATGGTTTGTCTCCGAAGGTGGCTGTGGTCAATCCTCAGCCCCAGCCTGCTTGGGGCAAGAGTTCGCTGAAGAAGACACAACTTCCAGCATCAATTCGCTGTAGCAACACTATTAGAGGGTCTCCACCACTCTCACCCCCTTCCATAAAAGGGTGCCCTATTCCCCCTTCTTCTTCCAAAGGCACCACACAGCCAAACTTCTTGGAGGACCTTAACAAGACACTGAAACGCAAGTCCTCGCGAGTCTCTGGAGACAAATTGGACCCTGTGGCCACAATGGATGACATGGCTTTGCCACCACCTCCACCTGAGCTTCTGCATGATCAACTGAGACACAGTGGTAGTGGCTTCATGTCCGGGAATATCTCAGGCTATGCAACGCTACGGCGAGGGCCGCCTCCTGCCCCACCCAAGCGTGACCACAACACCAAACTCACAAACTAGAAAACTGCAACTTTTCCTGGACACTCTTGCTTGCTATTATAATGTCTGTGTCATAGAGTTGTAGAGGAGAAAGCCATCATTTTGTTGATATGCTCAGCTTTTTCTGTACAAAACAGCTCAAGAAGTTTCAGCTTTACTGTGACTTTGTGACAGTGCATAAGTTCCAGTTCCAAACAACTGAGTGATTCCACTTCAACACCTTGGTACTGCATGGAAGACAAAACTACATTAAACTATTAATCTTATTGTTTTTTGGGAAGACAAACGTTTTGAACTTTGGGGTTGGGTGGGATTTTTAATTTTGATTTTATATTGTTTATATATTATCGATTATTTAATAATCTGAAGAGATTTTGTTATTTCAGACTGAAGTTTTTTAAATGGTTGGATGGTTATTGTTGTTTGAGGAGTTTTAGATGGGTAAGTTGATTTAGACAGTGTGTTCGGCTGGTATATTAGTTTGGCACAACTTTAACCATTTATGTGGCAGATCCAGTGCTCAATGGAAGCATCTAGAATGTATCTTGATCACTATTGTTCTTTGAGCCACTTTAAATGCGTTTTAGTTGTAATTGTCAAAACTGTAACATGAAGGACTTGTTCAGGGAGTTGACTCAATGTCTAGTTCTGTGAGACTGTGGAATGTTTTTTTTTAATTATTATTATTAGACCTGTTTAAATTGTAGATATTCTCATTTGCTGCAGTATCTTTGTTTAGGTAAAACAAATGACTGCCTTGCTGTTCCTTGTTGGTCCTTACTTCCTCTGGTGAACATTCATGCTGACTTTTACAAATTGTTCACCTATGGAGAGAGAGGCTTTTAAGTCATGTGACTGAATGACACAATCATTATTCACATAGATTTATCGTATATCCTGTATTGCAACCTGTATTATTGGCTCATGAATACAGCCACGCCTTAAGATTCTAGAACATGCATATCAAATAACCGATAAAAATATTATCATCTTACAAAAAGAGGCCATTAGGAAGTAAAATTTCCCTGTTGGTTTTACTTGTTAAAGGATTCTGGCATATTTTTCCCATTTAGACATGACATACAACTTTAGAATCTTACAGTGAGAACCTATAATGGCTCTATAAGAGCTACTTTCCATTAGTACAAAGTATGCATATTATCTCATGTCCACATTTGATTTTGAAGAATTTGTTTATTGAATGTATTTACAATATCATGAAACTTTTCAGGCTGTTGAGAAGTGACTAACTGAAGTTGATATTAAATTATTAAAGTATCCGGTCATGATCCATCGAAGGTCTATGAACATCATGCTCTGCATAATGTGTAATTTAAAATGTAATTATACATGTTAATATCATCCATGTTTCTGTTTTTATTGGGTTTCTTGTGGAGGTTAATGCCAGCAGGTTTCTATTTGTATTCATATCTCATAGAGTGAATAATCCTGTTTCATGTTTCAGTGGAGGATGTAGTTATTGGTAGCCATTGGCAAAATCCTTAGTACAGTAGTCTTTTCATTTAGCTTTATGTTTGTAGCACCTTAATGTTGTATGAAGAATCTTCATGTGATTTCATCCAGCAGGTCAGTGATATGGCAGGTGATTGCTGAAATGGTCTCCACGAACATGGTTGGTTTCAGTGTTGTCATGATGACCCGCATGTATTGGTGGAACCACATTAATGCTTGGTGCTGAAGTTGAATGTGTGCGGTCTACAAAGCATTATTAACATTGTGATTGCAATATTTATACACCAAATATGAAAGTATGAAATATGACAAATGTATTTACCTCCAGTCCCAAAATGATTTAAATCATAGTATAATCCTAACCCCCCCCTGTTGGCGGAAAGAAGTTGTCAGCAATTAATTCATTGTTTAGTCATGCATTTATAAATTAAAATTAATTTTACTTAAAATTAAAATAATATTTTCAGTTTAACTATCCTTGACACAGTTCACATACTTCTGCACAATAGTCAATTAATAGTTTTTAATCAAATTACATTTACTGATGCAAACTTGCACTTCATTCTAGCCCTTCTTGCTTGTTTACTAGACACTTACATTTTAGCCTGTATCTATTCATGCAAATGTTTGTATGCCCATGGTGAAATACAGTCTCTTAGCTTTATGTTGACACTTACCTCCTCACTGGACTCCGAGCTCGAGCTGTCGGCCTTTGTGCATCTGAGAGAGATGATGCGAGTGATATCCTGGTTCACTCTGGCTCTGATATAGCACCCTGCTTCCAACTAAATTCCCAATGGTATGGACAAGAATCAAATAAGATTCACTAAAAAAGAACTTTATACTCTTAATATTACTAATCAATATTACTTATTATTATTTTTCATTATGCAAGTTTCTACAAAGCATTGTTAATATACGCATTTAAAAAATGTTGCAGCAAATTCAACAGTCATTTATGTGAAAAATAATGTGTTTTTCGAACAACCTAGTATGAGAGCCTGTTCTAGTACACCCCCAAAACAAAATCAAGACTTTGTAAAAGAGCATAATAGGACCCCTTTAAGACTTTTTTTAAAGTCCAACATGTTTTGTGGTATACACTTATCATTCAAAAGTTTGAGGTCGGTATAGTTTTTTTTTTTTTACAGTTGCTAGGGCCAATTTCTCAATACTTGGATCACTTTGTCAAAACTCTTCACACAGTGAGCACAACAGCATCTGTGGATAAACTGAATAAGACAGCAGTTTGCTGCATTTCTACATAATACCATACTGAAACATATTCTAAACCTAAAAAATGAAATGCTATCAAACAATTAGATGTAGCTGAATAACTACACAATTGTTAAGTCTTTCAGTGTCATTACCATCTATAAAAAATAGAGAAACTTTGGAATAATTTTGTACTGTAATGTAAATATGGACCATGTAACATTTACTGCAGGGAATTCTAAACAGTGGAGAGCTGTCATTTTTGTTTTGTTAAGGAATTGTACAAAAGAAAACATTGCTTGATGCTATCTGTTAGTGTTTTTAGGTCATTGTTTTATGGGTTACACTGTGTTTGCTAGGTAGCAAACTTGGCTAGTGTTATGAAAAATGACTTGATTTGAGATGTATGAAGAAACTTTTAAGAAGTGTTTTGGTAGTTTTAGTGCCTTTTCGATTTCAAATTAACTGCTGTGCCAAACTGAAAGTTGGAAAACTTTTTTTTGTTTTTAAAAAAAGTTTCTTATGCTCATCAAGGCTGCAGAAATTTGAACAAAATAGAGTGAAAACTGTAATGTTGTGCTTATTGGCATTACATTTTTGAACAGTAATGTAAATAATCTCAACATAGTTTGGGAATATTCAGTCTTTCACCATGGTCTGTAAAATAAAATATGAAATATAATCATATATTAAATATAATGTATATAAATTAAATATCATTAGCTGTTGTTGTATACACAATTATTGACATTTTTGTCGACAACATGTGTGTGATAACGTTTATGGGTAATTTATATTAAAAATTAAAACCACTCACAGCAGTTTATACAAATGTCTGTGACTATTCACATATTGCATCCTTTTTGCCTCCACAATTCAAATTCTGCATTTGAACTGGAATATTAAAGGCGTTATCAATTTAATTATGAATGGTGCACAACCCTGGTACATCAGCTGTTCTGTGTCATACAAACACCATTTGTTACAATCTATCAGCAAACCCGGACCTTAATCATGTCCATCGTATATGATATTAATATGAATGAACATCTTGAGATAACCTACCACAAAAAAACCTTTGCGGTACATGCAGCCTTGAGGATCGACCCCAGAGCTCTTCTGACACTCCGTCTCCCTAATGCCAAACCTCAGATGCAGATCAAACGTGCCCATTCCCAGAGGAACAATCTTAAGGTAAATAAAAGCAAATGATCAGCCGTTATTACAGGACAATCACTGACCACTGGAAAGCTGCTATCGATATTTGTGGTTTTGTTGTACTTTGTCTGCTGGATTCTCACTAGTCACCCTATACCAGTTTTGACAGATGCAGAAATGAAACAGTTGTAAGAGTGTACTGACCCTCTTTGCGTCTGCCTTGGACACTCTGTAGAGGTGATTGGTGGCAATGCGTGCATTGATCCGATTGAGTGCTATCTGCAGAGCATCCATCTGCTTTTGAGCTGAGTTTAAACAGAGGAAAGCCTATGGTTGCATGTTGAAGGTCATGTTACTTCATTTAAGGATTTACAAGATTAAAAATCAGCATGTTAGACTGTTTTCAAAGGTTAAGAGTTTCTAATAAAAACAAATCCAAGTAATTTTAACCACTGACTTTTATTTTAGCAAAGTATGACAGCTGCATATATGTTTCCATTGTTAACCAGAGTATTGTTACATATTTATTTCTTACACTCTTACACTCTGCTAATAAGATATCAAGATCACACTCACCTAAAACTCCCAAAACCTGCAGGAGCAGAAACAGAAAAACACAGCACCTCATTTTCATGCCAGACTGGATGCTCTTGCTACCACACAGTCCCGTTTTTAACTGTTATGGCTCTTATAATTCTCCTCCTCCTTTCCGTGTACAAGGCGTTGTTTAATTTGGCGTCTCTCTCCTGTTCGTACTCATCTAGGTAAAGAGGAACTTTGTCATACAGACCCAATGCTTGTTTTACCCAGAATATGTTCTGATAATCTGATTTCAAACATGACTGTGTAATGTGTGTGTGAGCGTGCGTGCGTGCGTACGTGCGTAACATTTTTTTAATTTCTTTCTAAACTTTTTCTTTCTGATTTTCTCCTGCATCTGAAAACGTGAAATTATAAATGATTGCAAAGTAACTTGTGCACAAAATATGAAGTTGCCCTCCCGCTTGCACCCCTGCTCTCGACAGACGGCACCCCGGTTGGGAAACACTGATCTAGAGGACTATGTATGTGGCAAGCAAATAATTATAAACAAGAACATGATGGGGAGTGAGAAATTTAAGTTTTAATAGTGAGATCAATATATTTTCTTGACAGTAAAAATCAAATCTGTGACTCTGATGAAAAAGCTAAGTGAACAGACATCTAATTTTGTCATAAGCCAAGATGGAATCTGCTTTCTTAACAATTAGTAATTTCTGAGAGCTCATATTACCAACAGATACAGAGCGGTGTTCAGGGAAGGCTTGACAAGTTCCTGTTGTTGTAGATCAGTTTCATAAATCATGAATTGTTACAGCTAATTTTCACTTCTTACTCCTGTGAGTGTTTCTTAGAGTTGGTTTATTTTTTGTATAGTCTGTTAAACATATTTGAACTATTACACAGTTATTGTTCAGGAATAATGATACTTATGTTCAAAGTTCATTGAACATGTTGACAGTTGTGACACCATGTCCTAATAACGGAGGTGTTGCCACACTATGCTGGGTTGTTACAATGGAGTTTGATATTAAATGGCATATCATAGGCTATTCATCAAATATTTAACAGTACAAGAATTATGAAACAGCAAAAATTTAAAAGGCAGAAATATTGTTTCGGCCAACAAATGTTATGAAAAATACCCTTGTTGAAGCATTCAATGAAAAAAAACATTTTGTAGAGACTATTTTAACTCATAATTTGCTAGTAAATTTCACAATTAATTACAAAGTAGCACATCGAATTAAATGTGAAAATTAAATTAAATGCGAAACAGACTGAAATAGTATTTTCTTGTAAAATGTACTCTAAAAGCACTTTCTGTTCTACATACAACTTGAAAATTTATTTTATTTTATTTTATTATTACTTTTATAGTGTTCTTACATTTTTAGTCACTGATGTCCAGGTGTTAGTAGAAGTTGTCCCAATTTTCTCACTGGTTTCTATTGTGCTAATCCAGTTGTCCATATTTATGTGCTCAAAAATACAGTAAAACAGTAATATTGTGAAATATTATTACAATTTAAAATGACTATTTCATATATCTTAAAATGTAATTTATTCCTGTGATGCAAAGCTGAATTTTCAATATAATAATATATCACAATGTTATGGTTTTTACTATATTTTTGATCAAATAAATGCAGCCTTGGTGAGCAGAAGGGACTTCATTAAAAACATTTTAAAATCATAATGTTTACAAATGTTTGACAAGTACTGTATATACAGTATTGTTAATAATATATAATATTATTAGAAAGTATTTATTCGACATGCACACTGTAATCCCCGATGTAAGTTGTTTTCCTGATTGCCTTAAAGTTTAAAATCAATATATATATTTTTAGTACTGTGAGATTGTTCCATTTGAGTCCACAAAAAAAAGAGAATATTTCTTTAAGGGGTCCTATTATGCTCTTTTACAAAGTCTTGATTTTGTTTTGGGGGTGTACTAGAACAGGCTCTCATACTAGGTTGTTCGAAAAACACATTATTTTTCACATATTTTACATTATTACAACACCTCTCTCCCCAGTCTGGCATGAACGGCTCGAATAGTTCCTGTATCAAATGAAGGCCCGCCTTCTGAAATACGAAATGTGCTGTGATTGGTTAGCTGGGCCAGTGTGTGTTGTGATTGGTTAGCTGGGCCAGTGTATGTTGTGATTGGCAGCACTCGGCGCCTGGTCGGGAAATGTCATGCTCCTTACCATAGCCGCCTGCGAGCTTCAGTGTAAATATTGCATCAAAATCAAACGCAATTGAGCACGATTTAAACCCGGATGATTGTAACCACTCTAAGTTCGTCTGCCTTGGGAAAGCTAGCGTGTCTCCGACATAGTGATAACACTCGTTGCCTTCTCTAGTGCAGCTCAACCAGGTCTCGTCCCATTCGTTGATATTTGTGATATCACAAATCCCAGAAAATATGCGTTGTAGTCCAAACGAGTCGTTCGTTGTAGTTTTTAAAAAGTGATTTCTGTTAAATAAAATATCTCCTTTTGAACTGGACTTTGAGCTTTGTAACTTTGCAGATCTTTTTTATGCCCAAACAGCAACATTACAGACTAACTAAAGTTGAAAAAGTGAAGGAAAAAAGCATAATAGGACCCCTTTAATTATTATAAATCAGTTCAAATACTTTGTGTAGCTTGTGTAACTTGATAAAATTGCATAAAATCTCAAACACTAAGAGATCTCACCTATTAATCTGTGTGCAAAAACACACAGACAACACAGTCTCAACATTTAATCTCCTTTAACAGTCTGAAGCAAAGCATGCTGAGAAAATAAAATCTGCTGCAACTTATTACGTTTGAGTTTTGCTAAATATAATCAGATATTGAGTTCACATAACTTTTAAGAGTTTGCTTTCGTTTAAGTACAATGAACGTTCAGTAGTATTTAAGAAAAATGTACTTGTTTCATTCAGTACATTTGATTGTTAATCTGCTTTTTTTATATATATATATATATATATATATATATATATATATATAGTTCTTTTAATTAAAATATTTAACTCAATATTTTAATATAATACTGTTTTAATTACATTTGAAAAATAACATAATTAGAAAATAATTTATTGTATAATATTTCATAATTTATTTTATTACTGGTTCCATAAACCATCCACCATCTTTTTGTTCATGATTTTTTTTTTTAAGTACATCTGTACAGTGTTGTGAGACAGAACTTGCTGAGAGCATGACATTTCTTACCAATACCGAAATGTTCATTCCACATTGTGTGCAACCCGATCGTGGCATCTGTTAAATCTTTCTTCAGTTCCTCAAATGGGATATTGAGTTTAAACTCCACCTTATCTGCCACATCCAGATCCAGACACAATCCCCGCAGCATCTGTACCCTCTCTTCATCTTCCTGGTTACGACATCCACCAATCAACACCAGCTTCACGGTCTCTTGCCCAGCAGGCTCCACCCCCTTCCTGTCCAGAAGCTTTCTAAAAGCCTTGATCTGCAGCCGGTGGTCTTTTTCAGGCCGGAACTGACCCACGGAGACCACAGAGTGACACTTCTTTCTCTCTTTCTCTTCATCCTCGTCCCTAATAGGGACATCCAGGAAGGCCTGAACGTCACATGGTGGATAGACCACACTGGTGCGGTTCGGAGCGTGCCACAGAGCCAGAATGTGACCTAATGTCCAGGTGGAATTTACCATGACTACGTCACTACAGGAGCCAGCCAGGCCGTACAGCAGTGCGAAGACACAGTAGTAAACCACTTTGATGGCACTTAGTACAGGGTTACTGGAGATGTAGTCTGCATTATTGAACCTAGGATAAAGATATAAGAAAGTATTTGTAATTATATATGTCAGATTTCTATATATACACACCACTGTTCAAAAGCTTGGGATCAGTAAGAATTTTTTATGTTTTTGTAAGAAGACGTCAACAAGGCTACATTTATTTGATCAATAATACAGTAAAACAGTAATATTATGAAATATAATTTAAAAGTATTGTCTTCTATGTGAATATATTTTAAAATGTAATTTATTCCTGTGATGCCAAGCTGAATTTTCAGCATCCTTACTCTGTGATCACGTGATCCTTCAGACATTATTCTTCTAAGTTGTTTCTCAAAAAAAAAACAAAAAAAAACGTATTATTATCAATGTTGAAAATGTTCCACAATGATTTAGTGGAAACCACAAAAACTATTTTTGTGGAAATCATTTTTTTTCCGGAGTCTTTGATGAATATAAAGTTCAAAAGAACATTTATTTGAAATACAAATCTTTTGATAAACATTATAAATGTCTTTACTATTGCTTTTTATCAATTTATTGAATCCTTGCGGAATAAAAGTATGCATTTATTCATCAAAAAAAAAAAAAAAGTTTACTGACCCTTAATTTTTGAACTGTGGTGTATGTAAATATAATTATGCACATGAAACAATTCATGCAACATACATAGCAACTGGAAAATATACTGCAAGAGATGCATTTATAAGACAACAATTAAGAACACATTTTATTTCCGTAAAGTGACATATTATTTGAGTGAAAAAGAATATTAAACAAAAAAGGGTAGTACTAAATTTCCAGTTGTGATGAACTAGCTAAGGAATATTTTTTCATGCATAATGTTTACCTGATAAAATATTTTAGAGTTTGGCAATATTACAACACTGTATGATCAAAAAAATGGCTATGGAAATTGTATTCATTTGCATGACTTTTCCAGGTCCAGATATCACACTTTCAGATTAGGCTTCCTCATATATCCAGGTTCTCCTAGTGGGTATTAAATAAAATAAAAAAATGCTGAGGGGGTTACATTAAACTATTAAATATTTTTATTTTAAATATTTTATTTAAAGAAAACAAATCCCGCACACAGTCAATAAGTGCAAAAAGTATCAAAAGATGTTTAATAATGTTTCGGTCAAATGACCTTCATCCTTTGCAGAGATTGGTCATGATTTCTTTTTAAATGTGGTTTAGCTTGTGAATTCATGTTTGAAGATACCTGATGAAGGTCGTGTGACCGAAACGTTGTTATTAAACATCTTTTGATACTTTTTGCACTTATTGACAGTGTGCGGGATTTGTATTCTTTATCCTTTAGTTTTGATCTTTTTGGTCTTTGTCTCCTACGCACCTATCAATTGCCGTCAGGTGTGCGGAGATTGATTGTTCATTTTGTCTAATTTAAAAAATGTAATTATTCTGAGGCCCTTTTGTACGTTGGTTTACTTTAGAACTACTGCATTAATTTTCAGCATCATTACTCTGTGATCACGTGATCCTTCAGACATCATTCTAATATAAAGTTCAAAAGAACATTTATTTGAAATACAAATCTTTTGATAAACATTATAAATGTCTTTACTATTGCTTTTTATCAATTTATTGAATCCTTGCGGAATAAAAGTATGCATTTATTCATCAAAAAAAAAAAAAAAGTTTACTGACCCTTAATTTTTGAACTGTGGTGTATGTAAATACAATTATGCACATGAAACAATTCATGCAACATACATAGCAACTAGGGCTGTAGCTATGGATTATTTTAGTAATCGAGTATTCTGCAGATTATTCCATCGATTAATCGAGTAATAATAAAAGTAATTTTTCTTTATTAAAGAGCAATACTAAATATACAAGAGATAATTAGATAGATCTCTTAAAATAAACAACTAATTTTGAAATTGCATACATTAATAACCGTGAAAACTAAACCCATTTAATGTATTTAATTGCCAATCTCTTAAAATAAACAACTAATTTGTTTCCTTTTTAGAAATTTTTTTTACTACTGAAATTGCATACATTAATAACCGTGAAAAATAAACCCATTTAATGCATTTAATTGCCAAACTACATTCAAAATGCAAATAAAAATATATAAATAAAAAATAAATAAAATAAAAATATAAATAAAAAATAAAATAAATAAATAAAAATACAAAAATCAATTTCACGTTAGTTTAAAAAAGGTAAACATTGCAACCTAAAACTAAGGCAGAAATCAAGAAATATAAAAATCAATTTCACATTACTTTAAAAAAGGTAAACAGTACAAACTAAAACTAAGGCATAAATCAAAATAGTAGTAATAATAATAATACCTAAACATTGCATTTGCTATTCTATTTGAAAATTGTCCGGAAAATCGTTCCATACATTTTACTAGCTAAGGGATTACTGCATTAATTCATCATGGACATTAAGACCAAAAATATTATCAGTATATCAGTTTTGAACTACAACGGAGTCTTTACGGAGTTCTTTACATCTTAACCTCTACATCAGCTACAAAACGAAGGTTTTAAGTCATTAAACATTAAACAGTGGAATCACCTAGTCACATTTAATTCAATAACAATAATGTGACTTTCTTGACTAACCTTGGGTTTCTTTCTCGAACCACTGAGAGCATATCAGTGCTGATGGTTGGGTAGTGCACATAGCTTCCCACATGACAACCACCCAGATAACGGAATACAGGCAGGGTGAAGGCATAGCCCACTGAGTCAATGTAGAGGTCTGGAACAAACTCAGTCAAGGCCTCCCACCCCAGGAAGATGGAGCCCACGCTCTGCCCCAGAAGGGTGAAGTGTGGGTACAGTTTTGCCTCCACCAGGAGACGATGTTTCAGGAACACAAACTTAACGGCTCGGGGGAGTCTGATGTTGAAGCGCCGCCACGCTCCATCTAAAATCTCTTCTGCTGTCACGCCCTGATCACCTGTGTAAACCACGAAGGAAACATCTTGGTACCTGTAAAAACACATGGGATTAAAAGTGTGAATGAATCCAGAAATGATAAGAATTTTTCGTTAAGTCCATGCTGAAGCCCAGCCCTGCTGATTTAAGCATTCAAGACAGCTTCAGTCAAACGCAGAACTTAATACATTTATACAAGGGTCAGCGACATGCCATGCTCACTTCGCTGTCCTAGGCTAATTCAAATGATAATATAGCTTTTAAATTAAGTATGCCTAGTGATTCAGCTACAGTCTTAACCTACATGATGTAAATATAGACATTCTAGGGTTTTTGTCCTAATACTTTTTGGTGTCACATGAAGTTAAATATTAACAAGGATCCTAAAGGACTTGTGTTAAAAGGGAGTCTGTCCAGATTATTATTTGTTCTTTTATTTTATTTTTTTTTTTCAAATACACTGTGGTGTAAATTTCCATGTCATGGAAATATTATATATTTTATAAATAATATGTGATGTACCGTATTGGCCCGAATATAAGACGACCCTGATTATAAGACGACCCCCCCTTTTTCCAGATGTACCTTTTGGAAAAAGGCTTTTTAAAAACCAAATCTTGTTTTTTCTCAGTAAAACACATTTTGTCTTCAATTATTTTCATATTGCATATTTTTCCTATTTTAATTTTTGTTTTGAAAGTATGGTAAAAACTGGTAAAATGTACCAACAATCACATTTAAAAAATATACACTTTTTGATATACCATTAAAAAAAAAAAACAGGTAGCCCATCTGAATTAGGACATTTAGGCTATCCATCTAATAGTAGCCTACCAAAATCTTATTAACAGCAGAAGTTAAATCTTACTGTAGTCTTCAAATCTGGGTACTGTCTTACGTTTTAAAATCACAAAGGGAGTTTGGTGCCATCAGGCTAACGTGACAGTCACGACTCATGCAGCTGTAAGGCTTTCTTTTTCTTTTGTTTTTACTCGCGATCTTTACAACACGCATTACATTACGTATTTCATGGCACACTCGTTTAATGCGTATTTGGCGCCACCTAGTGTTGTGGGTGTATTATTGACATGTCAAAGTCTAGACCCTGAATATAAGACGACCGAGTTTTTTCAGATGTATTTCCAAGAAAAAAATATCGTCTTATATTCGGGACAATACGGTATATATTTTATACATTATTATATGTCTATTATATATTTTACTTGAAATATAATATTAAGTTGCATATAAGTGGAGGTCAACGTCAATATTTTTTGAAAGTCATGGTATAGTTTTCCGCCAGTAGCCAAGTAACAGTCAGTGTAAAAGGTTCAAGTCATGCTGATAACATTGTAGTTAGGCGTGATCATTTTACAATAGATTTTACAGTAAGTCTTCTGACTACTTAACACTTGCCAGTCTTTGTTATTAATTATATAGATGGAATAATTATAATTATGTAAATATTCTAAATTAAATTAAAAGTATGCATTTAGCTGACGCTTTTATCCAAAGTTATGCATGCTATACATTTTTTATCAGTATGTGTATATTTTTTGAAAGTCATGGTATAGTTTTCCGCCAGTAGCCAAGTAACAGTCAGTGTAAAAGGTTCAAGTCATTCTGATAACATTGTAGTTAGGCGTGATCATTTTACAATAGATTTTACAGTAAGTCTTCTGACTACTTAACACTTGCCAGTCTTTGTTATTAATTATATAGATGGAATAATTATAATTATGTAAATATTCTAAATTAAATTAAATTAAAATTAAATGTATGCATTTAGCTGACGCTTTTATCCAAAGTTATGCATGCTATACATTTTTTATCAGTATGTGTGTTCCCTGGGAATTAAACCCACGACCTTTGCGCTGCTAACGCAATGCTCTACCACTGAGCCACAGGAACATATATTCTGTATGACATTTTCTGTGATCAGTAACCTGAAAATAGTTAACACGCTTAGGAAATATACACATAACACAATTTTCATATAGTATAAAATTATTTAAATTGTGGATTAGTGTTTATTTTATTATATGTATTATTTATATTTTGCATGCTTTCACTCCCTATTTGTCACTGACCCATAAATGTCTGGCCAACTAAATGGCACACGCTTAAGAGCTGAAATATCTGACCTGTTTTGAAGAGCATGTAAAGCACACCACAGCACTCTCTCTCCTCCTCCCCCTGCATTGCAGTACGGGTGGAAGAAGGCCACGGCGGGCCGGCCGTCCTGAGCTCTCCTGCTCTTCCTCTTCATCTGCAGCCAGGTTCTCACTCCCATGATGAAGAGGAAGAGGATGGCTGTCAGGACAAGACTCAGATAGAAGCATGGTAACAGCAGTGACCACAGTAACCTATGGAAGGCAAAAACCACACACCATAATCCACCTTTATGATTAATATCAGTTTACATACAATGTGTCCTATCAAAATGCATACTCAACTATAAATAGGCCTTAAAAGTAAGTATATGAATAGACAAGGTCTCAAAACTAATTCTAATGTACATTGTTGCAGTTTTTCTTGTCATATGTTAAACAGCTCTATGTCTCCTCTAATTATTTTATTTTGTTTTGTTTTATTATACTGATGAATATCTATTGGTCAGTATCAGCCAAATGAGTGATACATGTGAATGGCTTGTTTCCTTTAACATGGACAGAAATTATATTGGCTCCAATTTCATTTGGGGATGTCTAAAGTATTGAAAAAATACAAACCTGCAGATTAATATACATAAATATTTAAAAAATGCTAATAAACTGATTCCTTCATTCATTCGAAACAAAAAATGAACTGAGCAAGTAATTTTATAAAACATTCGTCCTGTGGCAACAAGGGTTCAACGAGACTTCAGTGGATTTCACATTTAAGGCATTGGCTTTAAAATCTACACAATGAACAGATAATTTAAAATGTTTACCTAATTAAATCGCACAGACAGAGAGACAGGTGATCGTGCGCTGACATCTTCCTCAAATATGACAACACAACACGTCTCTCGTCAGAACCCGGAAGCGCTTACCACTGGTCGAATGTTGTTTTTTTAATTCTTCTGGCATTTTAATGGACGTTGGCAAACGACATTTTCGCCACCTACTGGACAGGAGCCTAAATGATCATCTGGTTTGTTTTAAGAGCCCTTTTGTAAAATAAATAAATAAATATAAATAAATAATTAAAAAATGCCCTTGGCTGAAAGTTGGTGGTTTAAAAAAAAAATTAAACAGCAGTTCTCTTAAATATTTTACAAACAACCATTTGGAATCTTTTAAAATATAATCTACACAGAGCTAATTCAAAGAAAAGTTTAACCAGCAAACAAACAGTTCTAGATCAATACTGGCCTCTTACCTTGTCTGCATCATTTCACAAACTATTGGGAGACAGAACAAAAACATGAGGCCCCTAATACAACTGGCTTACTTAATATGTTTTAACATCTTTCTTGAGAAGTGTATCTGCAAATCGGAACAGTAAGTCATATTTTTCCTAAAATTATACATTATACAATCATATATTTAAGTTGTTGCTCTAGCAACACCCAAGACTGAAGTCAGATCTCTGTTGTATGTCAGCATTAGCTTATTGTAATCAATGTGAAACCTCACTTTAAACAATAAAAGGTGAAAAACATTACCTGCTGTAGAAAAAATGGGATCTCACAGTAGATTTTTTTTATACATATAAAACTTTTTTTTTTATTGGGTAACAGAATAATAATACAATGTTTGTGTCTCCATCTATTAAACGTGGATATACAAACATTGTAGCTTCATGATTACTACCTAAAATACTACGAGTAGAATAGCACGTTGTTAATAGTTGAGATGTTATGACAACCAAAAGTTGGAAATAAACAGAAAATGGTACGTTCTTTGCTGAAGTGTTTATTGTGAATAATTATGTACAATTATGTAGTAATTGTTAGTATTGTTATAAATCAAAAGTATTTGCATATGTTGAGAACACTATTGTAGAATAAAAGAAAACACAATTCTGAATTCTGCCAAAATTCTGACTCTGTGTCAGAACAATAATATATATATACAGTGGGTATAGAAAATAATCACTCCCCTTTAAAATAATCACATTTTGTTGCTTTGCAGCCTGAAATGAAGACGGACACAGTTTATGTTTTATCCAGCTGTATTTACTCAGTGCAACTTATTACATCCAAGTGAAAGATATAACATCAACATATCAGAAAGAAAAAAAAACAGAATCACTGAGTTGGAAAATGGATCACCCCTTGTGTCAGTATTTTGTTGAACCACCTTTTGCATTTATTACATTTTGCATTAAATACAAGGATATGTCTCTAGTAACTTTGCACATGCAATATTTGCCCACTCTTCTTTGCAGAACTGCTTAAGTTCAGTTAATTTTGATGGTGAGCGTTTGTGAACTGCAGTCTTCAAGTCATTCCACAGATTTTCAATTGGGTTTAATTCTGAGCTCTGACTAGGCCATGCAACAACATTCTCCTTTTTCTCCTTCAGCCTCTGTGTGCTCAGTTGCTGTAGGCCTCTTGGGAGCCTCTCTGACCGGGTTCCTCCTGCTCTTTCATCCAGTTTGGAGCGACGTCCTGATCCAGGGAGGGTCTCTGTTGTACCAAATACCTTCCACTTCTTAATAATAGACTTCACTTCTAGGCATTGACAAAGCCTTTGAAATTTTTATCCATCTCCTGACTTGTGCCTGTCCACAACTTTATCCCGGAAATCTTTTGACAGAGTCTTGCCACCCATAGTTGATTGTTTGTTTCAGTTGCACTACCAAGGACTGAAATGCTCCAGGAAAACTATCTTCATGCTGATCTAATCAAAA